ATTCTATAGAGAATATCTAAAGAGCAGTTTTAATTAAGTGTGGTTAAGGAGTTTCTACTGCAGGTGGTTTGCTCTCTTTCAGGCACCCAGAGCCTTTTGCTTTGGTTCCTCACTGAAACTTCCCTCAAAAGCCTGCGGCACTAAGGAATTTTATCACTTTTCCCTCTACTGTTCCCATATCAAACCTCGTAAGTGGACAGGGATGACTATTTATCACTTACAGAGTAATTAATATTAAGATGTCAGTGACTCGCTTTACTGCACGGTACTTTGGAATTTCATTATAATTATTTCATTAAAGCTTCCTGGCAATATGAGTAAGAGAAGGGACAGCAAACTTTTTCTGTAAAGGGATAGATAATAAACATCAGATATAAATATCAGGCATTACAGGTTACTGTTGTATACGCTTCTTTGTCTTTGGTTGTTTTATATAGAAAGAGGGCAGTGACCAGATCTGAACCATGGTTTACCAACCTCCACTATAAGATAAAGTACAATAGGCAACAACGTGTCCCTCTTCCACATACTGTAACACATTTGTAGCGACTAACATTTACTGAAAGCTTACAGTGTGCCAGCTATTGCGTTAAGTGTTTTGTGTATATCACCTGATTCAATCATCACAACTATTCTATGCTATTACTATTATTATTCTTTTCAGAGATGAAGAAATTGAGACTTGAAGACATTAAGTAACTTCCCAACCATTCTATAAATGGTAGAGCCATAATCTAAACACAGTAAGACTGACTTCTGCATTACTAAAATATACACTTCTGAAAAAGCTTTCAGGTGAACATATAACTAATACATACTTATGGCACAAACTAGAACATTGACCTGATTCAGTGCTGATTTGCTAAATGTTGAGGAAGAAAAATTTAAGGGAGAACTGAACACTTTAAGTCAATGAATGAAAGTCTAATGGTATAATATTAGGCACTGAAAAGAAACGTATTTTGGAAAGGATATCAGATCTAGAATGTCAAAGCTAAAATCAAGAATCACTGCCACACTTTTTCTTTTTTTTTTTTAATTTTTTTTTTTTAATTTCTAGGAGAGAGAGAGAGAGAGAGATAGACAGCGTGAGCAAGGGAGGGTCAGAGAGAGAGGGAGTCACAGACCGAAACAGGCTCCAGGCTCTGAGCTGGCAGTCAGCACAGAGCCCGACGCGGGGCTCGAACCCACGAACCGCGAGTACATGACCCAAGCGAAAGTCGGACGCTTAACCGACTAAGCCACCCAGGTGCCCCACTGCCACACTTTTTCAATAAAGCAGCACAATGAAATCTTAATTATGGAACACAGAAGTGTAAGAAGCAGACTATCTTAAAAATGTAACAGGTTTGGGGTGCCTGGCTGACTCAGTCAGTAGAGGGTGGAACTCTTGATATGAGGGTTTTAAGTTTGAGTCCCATGCTGGGTATAGAGATTACTTAAAAATAAAATCTTTAAAAAAAATGTAACGTTCAGGGGCGCCTGGGTGGCTTAGTCGGTTAAGTGTCCGACTTTCACTTAGGTCATGATCTCGCGGTTCGTGGGTTCGAGCCCCACATCGGGCTCTGTGCTGACTGCCAGCTCGGAGCCTGGAGCCTGTTTCAGAGTCTGTGACTCCCTCTCTCTCTGACCCTCCCCTGCTCACACTGTCTCTCTCTCTCTCTCCTAGAAATAAATAAAACATTAAAAAAATTTTTTTAAAAATGTAACATTCAACTTCTCTCAGAAAACACTACAATAATAAATAATGCCATAATATAGAAGATGGGCAATAGATTGGGTCAGGTACAAACTTAGGGGTAGGCTGAAGATGACAGAAGGAAATATAAGAAGATACAAACGTACACTTCATCTAGTGACTGAGAGCAATTTGGGCAGGGATATGATGTTACAGAGGTCTATAAAAAAGAATAAAGTGTAGTAGTGTCCCAGGAAGCAGTACTCAGGAAAGGAGTAACCTAACAAACAGGATCAATGAACTCTAATGGGTACTCCTTTTATTATATATAACCTCCCTCCTGTCAAATAAAAAGAGCTCTCTTCAGTTCTCCTTTGAGTAGAAGTATTGGAAATAACAAGGACATGAGTGAAGAGGATGTGTCAGAGGGTGAAAGACCTATGTAGATGGGAAAAAAGTACAGTAAATGTGACTGTTCCTGGAGGCTTATTGCTGTTCCACCATTCCTTGGATTGGGGGGAAATGCAGGTGATTCAAACCATGTTTCTCTGCTTGCCTCACATAAGCAAAGTGCATACAGGCGGTTGCTGCCATCACCACAAAAGCTTGTATCAAAGGCCTGGATGATAATAGCAAATACCCATACAGTACTTTAAAGTAATTTAATCCTCATAATCACCCTGTGAGATGAGTACTTTGAGAATCTCCATGTTTAATGAGGATGGTGAAGCACAGGACAGTTAAACACCCAAATTTACACAGCTAAAAGACAGTAGAGTTAGAATTCAAACCCAGGCAGAAAGGTTCCACACACAGGTCACATGCTCTTAAACACTGTTATAAAATTACTTCTTTGGCTTAACTGTGCTACCACAAGCAACTGATTGGCATGAGACTGTGTTAAAGCACTGCTGTGAAGAGCTCTAGGCACTAAGCTGGGGATCAAAATAAAGACAGGACAGAGCAACTACCAACTGGAAAGATAATCTTGAAAGATCCAGATATCAGGCATGTTTCTGAGGGAGGAACTTGACCACGAGGGAAAGACAGGGACTCAAAAAAGAAGAAACTACATCATTACCACAACAATTTGGACATATTAAACTAGCAAACTAAACTGTTATCAAATAGAGATGCAATGTGAGTATAATTCTGACCATGAATCCTGGTATTTGTGAGTACTTGCCTGATTTTTTAATATGAGTACATATAAATTACAAATTAAAAGAGCCATATCACAAATGGATTTTTAGTCACACCACTAAGATAAGTGCTGACATTGATTAGCTAGAACAAGAAGTTATTCAGAAAGTTCTGATGTTGGGCTTTAGACTACATGACATGAATATGTGTCTTCTGAACTACTGACATAATATTCCTTAAATTGAGTAATAAAATTATTATGTACTAAATAAACAGAGAGTTGTTCAAGTTTGGACTAGAATGGCAATCTTGAGATTCAGAATTTGCCACTGTAACTCACATAAGTGTGCTAACAACAAAGTAAGAACACTTAAGCCAGATCTTCTTAGCACATATGCTCAGGAAACTGCCTTTCTAGGGAGTATATATTTTTATTGCTATGTGAACAAAATAAACCAGAAATGTGAGCAAGAACTCTTCTGGAATATAAACCTAATATTCTAGATCCAGTTCCTAAAACATAGTCCACTGTCAAGTAGTACACAGAGGCCAAATATAGACACTGAGAATATACTGCAAATGATCACAAGGTCGTGCTGTTCCTGTATGACAACAATAACCTTAGGGCTCTGTAACTAAAACTCTGGGAGGATTGCATGTGGTTTCAAGAAAACCCTGAACACAGAATATAATTAATCTTTATAATAAAATTGCATTGCCCCCCTTCCACCAAAAAGAAAGACAGAAACATACACATGTATACACACACACGATTTGGGAAATGTATATCCACGATATGGAAAATATATTAATGAATCTGTATTGGGGCGCCTGGGTGGCTCAGCTGATTAAACGTCTGACTCTTGGTTTCAGGCAAGGTCATGTTCTTAAGGCTCGTTGAGTCGGAGCCAGATTTTGGGCTCTGCGCTGATACCATGGAGTCTGCTTAGGATTCTCATTCACTCTCTCTCTCTCTCTCTCTGTTTGTCCCCTACTCACGCTTGCTTCCTCTCTCTCAAAATAAACATTTAAAAGTATAAATAATTCTGTGGTATACTCTATTTTACTATATATAATGCAGATTTCATAAAAATTTGAAAAAAATGTGGATATGTATGTACTTATAGTTACAAAATATATGTTCCCAAGAGAAAAGTTCAAATTTTAAATGATAAACAGACTGATTAAAACTGGTAATCCTAGAGTTTAGTAATGTACTTCTGTCACAACTGGCAAAGTCAATATGATTTTTGAGAGCACAAACATCACTACTGTTGGCATGATGGAGTCTTATTATCTGAACCCATTGCTAATTTCATCAAGAATGTGCACCCTTGAACCTACAAGACTGCTTCTTGCCATTGCAAATAGTCTGGCTCTTTCTCTTCAGGAGAACCAGAGTAATGTATTAACATTCTATCTGAAACACAAAAAGAGGGAGAAAAAAGACTGGGCTCTTCCATTTTCTGGTTCTGTTTCTAGTCCCTTCTGAGGCCCATCTGTACTTCTTTCCCTTGAATTCCAAAAGAAAATCTGTATTTCTTATTAAAATTTGTTCTTCTTTTAAGCAGATTTTAGTTACTTGCAAAAAAGAGTAGGATTTAATTTGAAATCCAAAAGCCTAGAATGTCTAAGCAACCCAATTCTAAAGGATAATACTGGTTTTTAAAAAGTACATTGAAATATTAAACCTTCTAATCAACGCTATTCATAAGAATATCTATTCTGAATCAAAGACTTTGAGCCAAAATGCATCCAGAGAAAATACATGCTATTCATGTAAAAGTAATCATTCTCAATACGATAATGCCTGCGAAATTAAAAACTGCATTTAATTACATTTTCTGTGACAGTGGCTTTCAAACCTATTTTAGGCAACAGAATATTTTCTCCTAATGAAATCTTAGGTTCATGCCCAAAGCAAAGCAGAGACCAGCTCTGGCTGCAGCACGCACACATGCCTGGGTGGGCCGATGCGTGCCTGTGTGAGCCTCAGGCAGGAAACCCTGCCTGATGTCCAATATTTTCCCCCTGTCAGAGACCCCATGAGTCATCACCATGAAACCCTTGTTACTTTTGTGAATAAGAGCTTGAAAACCACTGTGCTAGAAAGAGACAGCCACCATTTTAATCTTTATTTTCACAACCAAGACATCAAATCAACCATGTGCCTATTTACCTGTGAGCTTTAAAACTTTTTCCATCAACATAAATATCAATATCTGGGCAACACTGTCTCACGTAAAGTTTCAATAAATCTTCTCCTAATTCAGATGCAGGATCCAGGTCATAATTATCTTTAAAAGAGAAAAAAAATAATTTATTATAAATATTATTATATTTTATATATAATTATATTATATAACATATAATATATTATATAATATATAATATAAATAATATATACTATATATTATTATTATTATAAATATTATTAACAAAAGGATTTCCCCATAATTATCTTGATTAGCTACTGAGACAGCAATAGTAACTGAAATATTTAACTGGTATATTCAAAATAAAACAATTTAAAAATCATCTATATCTTGCTTTGAAATGTAAATCTCAACTTGTATTTAAATATAAATATACCTTTTAATATATATACACATTTAAATGTAGAAAATATTATATAAAATTATATACCAAAATTGAAGCCACTTAATGAACTCTGACTTAGGATGTTAGAAAATTTTCCAATTTTGATATCCTTTTCCACTACCTAATTCCTTCCTACTTTTGTTCATGAATTTTTGGTGAGAATGACCCTAAAGCCAACAGATATTCAACTGTAACCAGTGGGATTTATGGAGTACTTACTATGAGTTTATATACAGTATAGAAAAATAAAGAAAATAAATATTTTAAAAAGTATCTCTACTTCAAAAGATTCATCATTCAGAAAGTGAGAAGTGAAATACAAAACATGTTTACATTTTAAGAAATTAAGTAAATCTGGTGAGGATCTGTCACTGGGGACAGATTCCCACTAACCAAATGTACAACTTTATAAATTATATATTTATAAACCTGAATGTCATTATTGGCTCTATACCAAAAGAGAGCCAGAATCCAACCATAACTCAGTATCTCCATGGCTACCACCACAGTCCAAGCCACCATCACCTCACACCTCGATTTCTGCGATAACTTCCCAACACATCTCCCACTCTTGACTCCCACAGTCTATTTTTGACAAAGCATTCAGAGGCATACTTTAAAATGCAATTCAAATCATGATCCATCCCAGTTCAAAACCTTATGGCTCTCTCCATTTTTTTTACAGTAAAAGCCAAAGTCTTACAATGGTTTACCAGTAAAAGCCAAAGTCTTACATCTGGCTCCTCACCATGCAGGTGGCTGGGGACTAGTCCGAGCTTTCTGATCCTGGAGGGCCACAGCTGCCCAATGCAGGCTGATGGTGTGCATACTGTGCACTTGACTCTTACCTGCATAATAGGATAACCCTTAGTGTCAGAAATGAATTGTTGGATACCCAGTTGGTACTGGAGAACGGGTTGGTGTGGGGGAAAAAACCACCCATATTTGGGTGTCAGAAGTGGTGCCAAGAAAAAAACCACAATCACAGAAACCCCGAACTCAATGCTCCTCAAACTGAAGTCATCATTCCACTCTACTCTAATCTTCCTCTGCCTATAGTCCATAAGCCTGCCAAATAGTGCCACCCAAACTCTCTAAAATGGCTTATAAGGAGGGGTGCCTGGGTGGCTCAGTCAGTTACGCTTTCAGTGTCAGCCCAGGTCATGATTTTGCAGTCCATGAGTTTGAGCCCTGTGTTGGGCTCTGTCCTGACAGCTCAGAGACTGGAGCCTGCTTTGGATTCTGTCTCTCCCTCTCTCTCTCAAAATAAACATTAAAAAATGGTTTATAAGGAAAGTGACCACTTGTCTTGTTTTGCCTGGGACAATCCCTGTTAATGCCTGTTGCCCCAGAATAATTATAAACTGCAATAATAATGGAACTTTTCACTCTTTCAAAAGTATCCCAATTTGGACAATAAGAAATAAGATCATCCTTTATATAAGGCTTTCAGTGATCCAGTTTCTGCTTATATCTCCATCTCTTATATCTTCATCTCTTACTGTGACCATTGTTTTCCCCTCTTCCACCCCAGTCCTAAAACAAACTATTTCCAGTCTTCAAAATTTGCTACATGCCTGGGGTCTTTCTGCCTCTAAGCATGTTTTTTCCTTTGCCTATATTACTTCTCCCCTAAACTCTCTTGCCTGGTTAACGCCTGCTTTTTTCCCCCTGAGATTCAACTCAGATATCACTCCTTTCCTGTAGCTTTCTCATCCTTTACCTGGACGCCCAGATCCAGGTAAAATGTGCCTTATCTATGTCCTCATCACACTCTGTGTATATTCTATCTGACTGTATCTCCTTCTAGACTTCAGGACAGGAACATTATCTGTTTTGTTCACTCTTATACCTTCAAAACCTATTGCAAAGTCAATACTCCATTTAAAAATGTGATAATTAGGGAGCACCTGGCTAGCTCAGTCGGTAGAGCATGCGATCATTGATCTTGGGGTTGTGCCCCACGTTGGGTGTAGATATTACTTAAAAATAAAATAGTTAAAAAAATGTATGTGATAATTAGAATAGCATTCCAGGAACAAAGAGCAAATGCAGAGCACAGAGGTAAGAATATACAATTCTGTCAGGGAAATGCCAAGTAATTCAGTTAAGACTAGAGCTCAAGGAATATTAGGGGGTTGTGAAGAGAAGCAGCAACAGAGTTCCAGGCAGGAGCCAGTACACAAATTCCCTTATGTCACTGGAAAGATTTTGAAATTTATATTAAGGCTATGGGAAACTACTGAAGAATTTTAATAAGGGAAGTGCCATGATCAGATCTATAGTTAACAAACATTATTCTATAATATATAAATGGAAAGTGGCACAATGAGAAGCCTGGCAACCAGCAGGCATGCAAAATCTCAAGGAAAATTGCCAGGACCCAAAATTTAAAAAATGGCATGAGGATAAAGAAGTATTTAAGAATATTTAACAGAGGGGCACCTAGCTGGCTCAGCCGGAGAAGCATGCAACTTTTGATCTCAGTGTCATGAGTTCCAGCCCCATGTTGGGTGTAGAAATTACTTAAAAAGATAAATAAACTTTAAAAACTATTTAGGAGATAAATCAACAGGGGCACCTGAGTAGCTCAGTCAGTTAAGCATTTGACTTCAGCTCAGGTCATGACCTCATGGTTTGTGGGTTCAAGCCCTGTGTCGGGCTCTGTGCTGACAGCTAGTTCAGAGCCTGGAGACTGTTTCAGATTCTGTGTCTCCCTCTCTCTCTGACCCTCCCCTGCTCACGCTGTCTTTCTCTCTCTCAGAAATTAAAAAAAAAAAAAAAATTAAAAAAAACTTTTAAAAGGAGATAAATCAACAGACAGGGTCATGGATATAATGAAGAGTAAAAGAATAACTGAGTAGACGGTTAAGAACAGAATGGGTTGGGGGGCGCCTGGGTGGCTCAGTCGGTTAAGCGTCCAACTTCGGCTCAGGTCATGATCTCGCAATTCGTGGGTTTGAGCCCCATGTCGGGCTCTGTGCTGATGGCTAGCTCAGAGCCTAAAGCCTGCTTCAGATTCTGTATCTCCCTCTCTCTCTGACTCTCCCCTGCTCATGCTGTCTCTCTCTCTCTCTCAGAAATAAATAAAACATTAAAAAAAAAAAAAAACTAGAATAGGTTGGGAGGTGGTCACTTTGGGACAGATTAAATTTTGAGATATTTAAGGTATATTTAGACAGATATGTCTACTCAGTGGTTGGATGGTAGGATACTCCAAAAAAAAATGTAGGATCCTAATTATTTAAGGGCAGAAAGATGATGTGCTCGTGAAGGAGACTGAGGAGTGCCAAGAAGGAAAATCAAGAGAACACAGTGTCATAGAAGTCAGAAGAAGTTTCAAGGAGGAAGACAATGACAGTCAGAAAGACTGCAAAGAAGTTAGTAAGGTGTAAACAAGTATCTGTTAAGCTGGTAGACATGAGGGTTTTCCAGGGAGTAATGGAGAAAGTAGTTATAAGGTAGGAAGTTGAGGGGTAAAGGAGCTCTTTTCTCTTACATTAGCAACTTGTTTGGCCACTTTAATGGGCTGCTGTGGAGCTGTGGCAGAACTCTACATGAGAGCCTAGAAAAATGGGTATAAATATCAGCTGTGCCAACTGCTCTATCTGTGTGGCCTTGCAAAAGTCCCTTATACTATTTTAGAGTCCTCATCTATAAAAATCAGCCTACAGGGGCACTTGGGTGGTTCAGTCGGTTGAGTGACCAATTCTTGATTTCAGCTCAGGTCATGACCTTGAGGTTAGTGAGTTCAAGCCCCTGTCAGTGTGGAGCCTGATTGGGATTTTCTCCCTCTCCCTCTCTCTCTCTGCACCTCCCCCCCGGCCCCCCAACCCCCGCCCCATGTGCTTTCTCTCTCAAAATAAATAAATAAACTTAAAAAATAAATAAAAATCAACCTATAACCACTTACTTTTTAGAGCTATCTGAGATTAAATGAGATAAACTATATGAATGTATCTACTTCAAAGCCTAAGAGAGACATCCATTCATTGATTCACCATAGTTAGATATGGTTAACATACATATGAGGACTGTAAGTGGGCTTAAATCAATTTGGTTATTGTTATTGTTGCTGCACTAACCATCAGTAATAAAATCCTTTAGTTAACAGATATTTTCATATACATTACATTCAATTTTGCTACAATGCTTGTTTTGAAAATATCAGTTTGAGCTAACACAATTGATACATTAGGGAACAATTTGAGCATAATGTGAAATTTTCATTTGCTTTCATGCATTTCATTTCCTTATAGTTCATTCACAAGAAACACTAGGTCTGTGTAAAAATCTGCACCCAGATGAATGGAGCCATGGAAGAATACACAGAGCACACACAAACACCTTAAACATCTCCCAGATACCTCAGTTCACTGCATATGTTATGAGCCACATCCTCCACATCTGGTGTTACAAATTACCATCTGATAACCAACTGTTAGGAGATCATTTTCTATGAATATTTTTGCTTTTCTGTATAGTCTGACTTTAAAAAAATTTTTTTTAATGTTTATTTTTGAGAGAGGGAGAGAAACTGTAAGTGGGGAAGGGACAGAGAGAGAGAGGGAAGGAGACACAGACTCTGATGCAGGCTCCAGGCTCTGAGCTGTCAGCATAGAGCCTGACACGGGACTCGAACTCACCAACCACAAGATTATGACCTGAGCCAAAGCTGGACACTTAACGGACTGAGCCACTTAGGTGCCCCATGCATGGTCTGACTTTTCTGAGCAGAGCGTTGGAAAATTTGGATTAAGAAAGATTAAAGAACAAACATGTGTTGGAAGCTAGAGACAATGTGATGTTTCAGAAAGATGTGCAGATTTTCCTCCCCTCAAAATCATTTCCCTGAAAACAAACAAACCAACAAACAAACCATTTCCCTATACTCCAGGGTGGGGAAGCTACCTTTCTCACTCTTTACCAGGGAAGACTTATTTGGTAAATAAATACCCCTCCCTCCTACCCTACCTCCTTGTCTCTCTCTCTCCATCTCCACATCTACCTCTATATGCTGGGGAGGATGGGCAGATCTGCCAGTAGCCTATGAAAGTCTCCTAATTTTGGTGTTCCTCTCTTGTGTTGCAACGCCACTCCATGTGCAGGGTAACATCAGGCCACATAACCTTGTGGGAACTGGGGGTTAGGAACTGGTACTAAGACACTATGTAAGTAATAAACAGTCAATTTTCTGATCCAGAGACTTCAAGTTTCCTGTTAGAATATCTATTACTGTATCTGTATCATTTATACTTCTGTCTATCTGTACCTATTCCTGTACACTTAACATCCTCCTTCTGCCAATTCACAATAGTTCACAAACTGTAACCCTTCTGACACTCAATTCCACAAGCTAAAGTTACTTTTCAAGGTCAAACACCATATTTACTGTAGTGTTTATGTATCTCTTAACAACTTAACATATGTAAAACCATATCATTTTTGTCAGATTCCTATTTTTTTGGAACATGTCACAACAAAATTTTCAGTATTTTTTTGTCACAATAAAATACAATGATGATTTTTATGTTGCATATTGTTTTTAAGTAGTGCATACATTGTGTTATAACAGAACTGACTCTATAGTCTGCTAAAGCTTTTACTGGTATAGATTAGAATAAGGATGATGACATGTGGAGGTTTAAGAGGAGAATTGTGAATTATATGTGTATTCATTCATAAAAATCCCATCCTAAATTGTTTGGGAAAACTAGGAGAACTAGGAGTTGACTATAGTTCACTTACCCATAAAAAATTTACTTTTATTACATCTACTTTCATTTTACCTTTATTTCATTTACCTATAAATTGAGATCAGTGGAGCTGATTTTTGAAATGTGTTTTTCTCCAACTGTATGAGATTACTTTCTCAGCTATAAAATTTTATAAAAATCCACCAAAAAATACCTCACCATTAGAAATTAAATTGTGCACTCCATCACTGATATCCTCTGGAACTTCATACTTCTGGAGAGAACAATCAGATGACTTTTTACTGAAGAACTCTACAGATGATCTTCCATTGTTATCAGTGCAGATTCCAAAGCTGGAGTCACATTTCTTTTGTGGCATTCCCCTCTCCACTATCTTTTTCCTAAGAATTTCTTCTTCATAGTTTCTTATGTTTCTGTCTGATGAATATACAATCCTAAAAGAAAATGTAAAGTATTACTAAAAATGTTAGCTCTTCTTAAAAATTAGTTTACCAAGTGCTGCTTTCTTATAAAACAACTACATAATTTTGACTATATCTATCTGGACCAAATGGAAAAAGATCGATCTTAAAGAGCAGAAAATTTTAAAAGTAGTCTATAAAATATTTTGATGTTAGGAATATATAATGCTATCAAACTAGATAACCTAGATGAAATGGACAATTCCTAGAAAGACACACACTACCACACCTGACTTAAGAAAAAACAGAATAACTGAACAGACCTATACCAAGTAAAGAGACTGAACTAGTAATCAGAAACTTTCCACAAAGAAAAATCCAGGACTAAACTGCTCCACAGGTGAACCTGACCAAGTGTTTGAAGAATTAACACCAATCCTTCACAACCTTTTCCAAAAAACATAAATCAGAACACATCCTAACTCATTTGGAGGCCATTATTACCCTGATACAAAAGCTGACAAAGACATCATAAGAAAACTACAGATTAATATTCCTTATTAATATGGATGAAAAAAATTCCTTAGCAAAGTAAAGGCAAACTGAATCTAGCAACATATAAAAAGTATTATATACTACAAACAACTGGGGTTTATTTCGGGAATTCAAGAATAGCTAAACAAATAACAATCAATATTATACAATATATGCCATAATCTGAATATCTGTATACCCTCAAAATTCATAAGTTGAAAACTAATGCCCAATATGGTAATATTAGGTAGGAGGTGGGGCCTTTGAGAGGTAATTAGGTAGAGCCCTCATTAATAGGATTAGTGCCTTTATAGAGGAGGCTCCAAAAAGATCCCTCTCTTCCTTCTACCACGAGCACAGTGAGAAGTCAGCATCTGCAACCCAGAATAGGGTTTTCACCAGAATCCTACCGTACTGGCACTCTGACCTTGGATTTCCAGCTTCCAGAATGGTGAGAAATTTTTGTTGTTTATATGCCACCCAGTCTGTAGTATTTTGTTACAACAGCCCAAAGACCTCACAAAACCCTTTAAACTTAGTCCTCTTAGCAGGACTAAGATACCTTATCAACAGGACAAAAAACCACATGATCACCTCAATAGATGCAGAAAAAGCATTTGACAAAATCTAATACCCTGTCATGATAACACACTAAAAAACACTAGGAATAGAAGGAAAGTCCCCAACCTGATAAAGAACATCTATGAAAAACCCACAGCTAATACTGTATTTAATAGTACAAGACTGAAAGCTTTCCTTCTAAGATCAAAAAGGATGCCTGCCTGCTCTTACTATTTCTATTCAACATTTACTGGAGGTTCTAGCCAGGGAATTCGGCAAGAAAAAGAAGTAAGAGGCATCTGGATTGAAAGAACAAGGAAATCTATCTCTATTTACAAATGGCAAACTTATATACAGAAATCCTAGGAAATCCACTCCAAAAACTATTTGCTAAACAAGTTCTATAAGGTTGCAGGACACAAAATCAATATGCAAAAATCAACCATATTTTTAGATACTAGCAATGAACAATTCAAAACAAAATTAGAAAATAATACCATTTATAAAAGCATCAGAAAGATAAAACACTTAAAGATATATTTTAGAAAAAAGCATGACTTGTACGCTGAAAGCAATTTTATAAATGGAAATACATTCTACATGATTTAATATTGTTAGGATGGCAGTACTCTGGGGCATCTGGGTGGCTCAGTAGGTTAAGCATCCAACTTCAGTTCAGGTCATCATCTCTTGCAGCTTGTGGGTTCAAGCCCCATATAAGGCTCTCTGCCGTCAGCGCAGAGCCCACTTCAGATCTTCTTTCCCCCTCCCCGCCCCTCCCCCACTAGCACTCTCTTTCTCTCAAAAATAAATAAACATTAAAAAAAAAGGTGGCAGTACTCTCTCAATTGATCTACAGATATAATGTATTCCCTATCAAATTTCAACTACTCTTCTGCAGAAATCAAAATGCAAGGGACCCAGAATAGTCAAAGCAATCTTGACAAAGAACAAAGTTTGACGATTCATAAGTTCCCAAATTCTAAGCTTCCTACAAAGCTACAATCATCCATATATGTGCTACTGACATGAGAAAACGTATAAATCAGTGGACTAGAACTGACTGTCCAGAACTACATATATGTGCAACCAATTTTTAACAGTGTTGTTATTTTTGTGATTTATAACATTAAATATATATTTGGTCTTTGTCTACTGTTCCTGGCACTTATTTTCTAAAGCCCTTATATGTAATTTCCTATGCAAGAGCCATAGAGACATCTTTTGTTATAACACTTAGCTTTGTTCCTGGCTTCTGAAATAGCTCCAGAGGGATAAAAGTGAAATGGATGGCTTTTCTTATTCATAACAAGCCCTTTGAACCACAGCAGAGTTTACCTTAATGAGCCAAGTGACATTTGGAAAGCTACCAAGGATGGGCACTGGTTGGCAAGAAAGAATCATCAACAGCCAATAATTTAATCCATCAGGCCGAGGTCATAAAGCCTCCATACCTAAAGGATGGGATTTGGAGAACCTCTTTGTTGGTGAACACATGGAGGTGCTAGGAGACTGGTACACCCAGAGAGGGCATGGGAGCTCCAAACCCCTTCTCATATCCTAGCCCTTTGAATCTCTTCCATCTTCTTGTTCTTGAGTTATATCCTGTTTTAGTAAATTTGCAATCTAGCAAATATAATCTTTTCCTGCATTCTGTGAGCTATTCTAGCAAATTAATTGAACCTAAGAAAGGGGTTATGGGAACCTCCAACTCACATCTGGTTGGTCAGAAGCACAAAGAAGAAACGACTTGGACTTGCAACTGGCATATGAAAAGGTTGGGGACAGCCTTATGGGATTGAAGTTTTAATCTGTAGGATCAAATAATATCTCCAGGTAGTGTCAGAATTGAGTTAAATCTGTAGGACACCCAGCTGCTGTCTGGAGAATCTCAGAATTGCTTGATGTGGGGAAAAATTCCCACCCATTTAGTGACTAGGAAGGTCAGAAGTGACATATTCTCTGAGTAGAGTATTAAAAGTAAAGGAGACACACAGTTTTTCCTTTATAGGTGTCCAGACAATCCAACAGAAAAAGACTTGGCTCTTCAAAAGTTGGTGCTGAGACAACTGGATCTCCAAATGCAAAAAAGCTGGTACGAGCTTCACAGTAGACATAAAAATTAATTGAGAATAGTTGAAAGATCTAAATGTAAGAACTAAAAAAGTATACACAAGCATAAATCTTCATGGCCTTGGATTAGGCAACAGTTTCTTACGTATAACCCCCAAAACACAAGTAACAAAAAAAGACAAATAAAATGAAAATCATAGAAATTATAAACTTTTGTACTTTCAAGAACACTATGAAGAAAGTTAAAACACAACTCACAGAATGGGAGAAAACATTTGCAAATCACATATCCGACAAGAAACTTGTACCTAGAATATATAAAGAATTTTTTAAATCCTTTTATATAGAATAAAATTCTTATACAGAGATTATATAACAAATAAAAACAGGGTGCTTAGGTGGCTCAGTCAGTTAAGTAGCCAGCTCTTGATTTTGGTTCAGGTCATGATCTCACGGTTCATAGGATGAAGCACCATGTTATCAGGAAAGAGCCTGCTTGGAATTCCCTCTCTCTCTACCCCTCTCCTGCTTGTGTGTACTCTCTCAAAATAAACAAACATTATAAAAATAACAAAAAATAAATACAGAATATATAAAGAATTTAAAAATATAAACAATTCAATAATATAAAGATAAATGATTCCATTTAAAAATGGGCAAAGAATATGAATAGAGATCAGGACACCTGGGTGGCTCAGTTGTTTAAGAATCTGACTCTTGATTTCAGATTGTGTCATGATTTCGCTGTTCATGAGTCCAAGCCCTGCACTGGGCTCTCCTTGGGATTCTCTCTCTCTTCCTCTCTCTCTGTGACTCCCCAGCTTATGCTCACACTCTCTCTCTCTTTCAAAATAAATAAACTTTTAAAAATTATATATAAAAAAAAGAATGTGAATGCAGTTTACCTAAGAAAATATATAATAGCCAATATGCACACAAAAAAGATATTCAACATCATAAGCCATCAGAGAAATGCAAATCAAAACCACAATGAGATACCCTTCACACCTACTAAGGTGGCTATAATCAAAATGACAGATAATAACAAGTGTTGTCAAAAATGTAGAGAAATTTGGAATCCTCATACATGCTGGTAGGAATGTAAAATGGTGTAGCCTCTTTTGAAAAGAGTCTGACATTTCCTCACAAGTTTACCATATTACCCAGCAATTTCCCTCCTAGGTATATAATACAAGAGAAATGAAAACATGTTCACACAAAAATTTGCACGTGAATGTCACAATGAAATTATTCATAACAGTCAAAGAGTGAGAACAATGCAAAGGTCTATCAACTCATGAATGGATAAACAAAATATGGTATATTCATATGCATAGAAGAGATTTAATATAGCAGCCTTGACTACTATCTTTTAGAAGATTTAATTATAAGGTTTATAAGGTTTAATTATAAGGTTATAAGGTTAGCCCTTGGCTGGTATCTGAGAACATGATTTCTAGAGTTTTCCTGGCAGTCTAGAAATGATAAGGGTGGCTTGTTATGGCTAAACTATTTACACGAACAATATGGTTAATGCTAAACATCTGCTTGCCTTCCAGGAGTATGGACTATGGATGCACAATAGACACAGGGTGCCTAGAGGACAAATGCCTAGTAAAAACCCTGGGCACTGAGCCTCTAATGAGCTCCCCTGGTTGGCGACATTTCAGAAGTGTTGTCACAACTCATTGCTAGGTGAATTAAGCATGTCTTGTGTGACTCCACTGGAAGAAGACTCTTGGAAGCTTGTGCCTAATTTCATGGACTTCACTTCATATGCCTATTCTCTTTATTTCTTTTGTAATAAATCATAGCCTAGAATATGACTATATGCTGAGTCCTAGGAGTCCTCCTAGCAAACCATC